CGCCCCCCCCCCTCCCCACGGGGATGCCCGGTCTTGGAGGGAGGGGCTGCAGAAAGGACCCCGCGCGCCCGCAGGGTCTGCAGCCGGGGCGCTGCGGCGCGGGAGAACGGCTCCTCCTGGGTCCTAGGCAGCTCCGCTCGCTGACAGCTGCTCCGGGCTCAGAGCGTCCCTGCGCGCAGGCAGGCTCGTCCTCCGCCGCCGCCGCCAGGGAAACGTAAACGCGCAGGCTGGGCATGGGGCAAAAAAAGAAAACCCCCAAAGGAAGGCGCTTCAAGGGTAGGTAGGGATCCCATCCCTTCGCCAGCCACTGAATGAGGAACCGATGCCATACCAGAGCGGATATCCTAGAGATGCCATTGAGTGTGGCCCCAGACTTTATTTTAAACACAGATTACAAGCTTCATTTTTAAGGCCTGTGATAAAACAGCCCCCACAATTTCCATAGCAGATTCGCTAACACGGTCCCTTCACTGATTTCGAGTGCGTGTTCAGAGGGGGGAGGGGGGCTGAGGGATTTATTTAATCAAATATTTATTTGATTATTGTAGGTGCCTACAGTGGTGTGCCAGGCAATGTTTTCTGCACTGACGGTGGATTAGGCCAAGAAATTGTCCATGCCCGCCCTCTTAATTCAAGTGATTTTTAACTCTGTCGAATTAGAGCATTTTTTAAAAATTAATGAGCGATCTAACATTGTAAAGGAGCACTGGTGGTTACAAAATTGGGCTGCTAACCACAAGGCCAGCAGTTCGAAACCACCAGCTGCTCCACAGGAGACAGAGGAGGCTTTCTGCTCCCTTAAAGAGTTACAACTTCAGAAACCCTCAGGGGCAGCTCTACCCTGGCCTATCGAGTGCTATGACTTGGAGCCCACTCGATGGCAGTGGAGATTGGTTTAGAAACATTTTAAGCCATCATAATAGGCATCCTTAGCAGACTCATCTGGCAAGGCATTTGGCTTGGTTTGGGTGCAGGTTTAGTTTTAAGTAAAAGTTTGTTTTCCAGTGCAGTCTGCCTTTCTAGAGTATCAATTGTATCCTATGATCCTTGTAAAAACCTACTGATCTCTTCCTGCAACATTGTTAAAAAAAAAAAA